CTCAGTCTATCTCGATCCTCTTGGACGAGGTACGCCTTCAAAAGCAAGGCAGAGGAGGAGAGGTCACCACATCAACAACAGCACACCGAAACACACTACAGCACTTCACAAGCAGTGAGCTTTCGCCAAATCAACACCGGAGCCCGGAGACCCTTACACTCACTACACTATACACACATTAGAGATGCTGATCAGATAAAAAGCAGAGAATCAATGCAATGGTGAGGCTATACCGTGTTTACCTGATTTAATCCATGCATCGTTTAGCGACCAACTAATAACAACCATATGATGTGCAGCGATCCGGATTAGTGCCGTTCAGCTGTGGAGCTGCAGATCAGATGCACATACCTGCATGTCCAGCTCGTGACACCTCTGAGCGATCTCCTCTTTAGTGGCCAAAGCGTCGTTTAGATCCTCCACCGTCTTCTTCAGCTGAGCGAGAGGGAGAGGAAAACACACTTCACTCATAAACAATCACGCGCCGGTTACGTCATCAGTAACAGAGCTCCAGATAAAGCGGACAGCACCTGACGGTCCAGATCGACGTACGAGTCGTTTCCGGAGGACACGGGCGACTCTTTACTCATCAGCTGTGGGAATAAGACACATTAAACAGCAGGCTATGACATACAGACACAGACGGCACATCCGTGACACACGCCAGACGCTGACTGACCTCCTGGATGGCTGTCATGACCACGTGCTGCACAGACTCCTCCATCATCATGATGGTCTGGATATACTCTGGAGACAAGATCATAACAGAACGGCATCATCAGCGCAGTGCCACAATACACCAGAACTCACCCTAGTACGACCACTCCTAGTTTGGCTGTTGTGAACAATATTATCAGACGAGCTTTAGTTCTTATGTGCCGGTGTGTGTTTGGCTGCTTTATACTACACACTAGTGACACTACATGCACAGAGAGGACAAACATGCTAAACCTTGAGAAGTGCATGCGTGTAGAATATACACAGTACTGTGCAGACGTCTCAGGCCATTAGTATTTTCACCAACAACACAACATGGATTTAAGTCTGTTTTTTCTATCTTTTGCTGTAGTGTGTCAGGAGGAAATATCGGTTCACATTTCCAAACATTCATTTTGCCATTAATTGTTATAATGCAGTGAGATTTGTGTCTGTTTAGGAGTCTGACAGCAGCCGGTGCTCTCAGCATCATCGGTCTGTCTGAGATTGCATGAAGAAACAGAAGAAGCTCAGACAGACTCAATCCAGAAGAATAGAGATGCACCGACTGCAATATTCTAGGCTGATTCGGATGTCTGTTTTTTTTTTGTAAGAGTGACCTGCCGATACAGATTTTTGCAGATTCCAATTTTTTTTATAATGGACAGCATATACAAACAAAAATCTGTGCAAATTTCAATGCAAAAAATTATTTGCATAATAAAAGAAATTATTAAACATTACAACTCCCCCAATCTGGACTAACTTACAGAAGTTCTTTCAAAATAAAGTGCTCTGTGACTGGAAAGAGGTAGAAATGAGTTG